GGGAGGGAGGGAGGGAGGGAGTGAGGAAGGGAGAGAGGGAGGGAGGGAGGGATGGAGGAGAAAGAGAGGGGAAAGAAAAAAGAGGAAAAAATTGTACCCAGAAACCTGATGGTATTAAATTCTCCAAAGGAAAATCATCTTGCTTTGTTTGCTAGCTCACGAGCTTACTTTGCGAAAAAGATTGTTTCCTTATTAATCTCGGGCCATCAACACTATTATGTGATGAAAGGTGACCATACCATTAGTGTGACATACACCTTAGGCCGCTCCACCGCCATAGAATTCCTTCAGGAAAGCTGAACAAGAACCTAGCTGGTGACTACTTCCTCCACAGGTATGTCAAGTCCCGGGGTTCTTGGCAAGCTAAGAGTCCCTAGAATGTGCTCGCTCTACATTTCCTTCTGAGCTCAATGCTCACTCCACCATTACGGCTGAGGAAAGTTGTTATGACACTAACAAGTTAAAAAAAAAAAAGAAAAAGACACTGGGAACTACCATCTTCAGACCTTAAAACCTAAAACCTCTCTGCAAAGAATTACTATAATGGCCTTCTATTTGAAGCATACTCTATCCGCTGGCACCACACACACAAAGGGACTGCACATACAGTGAGTGACCTCAAGTCAATACTATAACACGGAGCCACATATTGTGCAGACTCTCCACACACATGCATTAAAACGCCAGGTGGCAGAAAACAGCAGAGAAGTCAGTCTTCATGGACGCCCCATGTCCCAACGAAGGGTGGGGGTGTCTACCCACTTTCACATGGATTTGTGTGATTCATGCCACAAGCAAACCACCCAAACCTTGTCTGAGGCAGAAAATCTCAACAGGTAACAAGTGTGATTATTAAGACGGGTTTGCCGAGGTACTGGTTTTCGGTCTTTCTATTTTTGCATTAGTGGGTAACCACACCAGTGGTAGAAACTGCAAGCCAGGAGATCTGACTACTTAACAAAGCCTCGGATACAAAACACAACTCAAGACTTTGGCACATGTCAAAAGCCTACACCGTCCAAGCAATGGCACAGTTTAATGCATCCAGCTTGGTTTAGTAATCACCTTTGATTCTGGAAACAAACGAAGTCCAAACCCAACTTTCTTTTCCCATAGAAATATGCACAGTCAGCCCCCCACTTCCTCTGAGAAAGAGTTCATAGCACCAGACAAGAGTATTTGAATGAATCCAACCAACTGCTCTGCAATTTCCAAGAAAACACAAGAGCACAAACCACCAGAAAGCATAATATTACAAATTTACCCCTCCCTCTCTCTTCCATCTCCGGCAGTTCTGAGTCTTTAGCTTGAGGCGTCTTCCTCTCTTCAAAGGTTGGTTACTGGCTAGATTGTAGTCAGGCTGTACACACACACACACACACACACACACACACACACACACCTTCCTTCCTCTGCACACCTCACAGGCAGGCACACTGGGGCCCTTCCTCCCACCCCTCAGAGCCTTTGCTCCGAAGAAGTCACAGAGCCCCAGCCCTGGGACCCACCGGGCACATTTGGTAGTACTGTCTCTCTGTGAATCTAGAGACCTGAGTGTCACCCCCAGGTGCTCCAAGGACTATTGACACCCTCTCTCTCACTGCGGTCCCAGCGTGCCAGAAAAGCCAGGCAGCCACAGGTTTGTTAGCAGCGTTGGAAAAACACTCCTTTTCCCCCTGAATGGGTCAAAGTTGTTTCTTAACTCCAGGTGGGGAGAAAGCGTAAGATCACTTACTCAAGAGGCAAGCGGCCAATGCTGCTTCTGGGGGGAAATTCAAACCCATCCTCTACCAGAACCAGAGTTCTGTACTCTGCTTTGCGGGGGAGAAGGCGCTGGTGAGACTAGCTGGAGGTCCCCAAGTTCCCTTCCTTAGCGGGTAGCTTTCCCGTGAGGAATAGGCAAGATCTCAGGAGTCCAGCCCGGGGGTCAAACTCAGTTTCCCCGACAGAGAACAGGACGAGGAAGGCAGCCACTCACCTGCGCTCGGAAGTACAGGAACAGAGCGACACTGCAGACCACCTGGCCCAGCCCCAGTCCCAGTAAGGCCAGGAACATGGAGCGGGAAGCCGCAGGGGGCGGCGGCGCGGCTGGTGCTGAAGGCGTGGGGTGCAGCGGCACCTCGTGCGGGGCGCCGGGGCCGCCGCCCATCTCCTCCGAGCCACGCAGGTACTTGCCGTAGTCTCGGCTGGCCCGGCGCATGGCGCGACGGGCGCCCTGCTTTGCGACCGCTCTGTTCCTTCCTCGGTCTCCCGCTGTTAAACACCGGTTCACCGAGGTCCCGGCAGTGACTCTCCCGGGCACGGGAGAGAGGGCAGGGGACCCAGGGCAGCCCCAACTCTTATAAACCTCGTGTAGAGGGCTGGCCTCGAGAGCCAATCAGCCCCAAGAAGGCTGCCTCTTCCACTCCCACTTTAGCCCTCCTTCCTTTCCTTCACCCTCCCCCTCTTCCTCACTCTCACCAACCGGCCTCCTCCCTCCCCAGAAAGGCCCTCTGAGGTGGAGGCTGTGGGTGGGTCCAGTGGTTTCTGGCTCCCTCAGCTTGCCCATCCTCAGTCTGCATCACTGGGCCTCAGTTTCCTCTGTAAGATTTGGAGAGTTGTTAGTTAGCTTCAGTGAACTCCGAAGCGCTTTCCTGACCACCACTCTCAAAATTTCAGAGGAGGCCATCCTCAAGGGTCCTGAGGTTTGGCCTCTGCTATGCTTCCAAATATAGACTCCCCGGATATTGGGAAGACTTGGGGAAATTCTAGAACTCCCTCTGAAGTCCCTCCTTCTCTCTTAAAAGTGACTTTACATGAGGCAGGTTTTGAATGATGCTCCCATAAGAGAGGGAAGGGAAAAAGGGGGGGGGGAGCAGGGGAGAGCGGAAGAACTACACAAAAAACGAAGGGTAAATAAAGGGGTGCAAAGATGCAAACAGGCTCCCAGGAAAGAGCAAGTGGCCAAGTTCAGCTTCACTGGTTCAGAAAACCTAACGCTGAGGGCCAATGAGCTGGCTCAGCAGATGAAGGTGTTTGCAGCGAATCTTGATGATCTGAGTTTGACCAGTAGAATCCTCACCCACTCACACACACACACACACACACACACACACACACACAGAGAGAGAGAGAGAGAGAGAGAGAGAGAGAGAGAGAGAGAGAGAGAGAAATCTGTTGTCATGTTGTTGTTGTTGTTTATCTATTTCTTTGAGACAAGTTCCCTCTATGTAGATTTGGCTGGCCTGGAGCTTGCTATGTGGACCAAACTGACCTCAAACTCATAGAGTTCATCCTACCTCCACCTCCGCCTCTGCTTCCACCTCCCAAGTGCTGGGGTTAAAGGCCTGCGCCACTTACACAGCTAGAATAAATGTGTGTTCTTAAAAATCTTTTTTCAAGTTTTTTTTTAATGTCTTGATTCAGAATTATTTCCCTTGGGAAGAAATATTAGCTTCTCTCACAAATTCTGAAACGAGTTCAAAGCGTCTGATAAATGTTCAAAGGTGAGGTGCTGCCCCTTGTAGGAGATGTGCCCCCCTTCTTAAGTCTCACTTTTGCTGTGCATTTCTCTCTGCCTAGTTCTCTGATGGACATTTCCACAGGGCATGTGTCACTGGTGACCTGTCTCTGACTTAGTGATGCTCTTCCTCTTGGCTATTGTTCCTCTCATTCTTTTAACGAACCTCGTATCCAGGGACAATTTTGAACACAGGGCATCAGTCATATGGAAAGTATTGATTCTCTAGGCTCCCCAAAGCTTCCAGTGTCGACACATTACATGTCACAATACCAAATGCCTAAATCGTATATAGCACTTTTTTTTTTTATTGAATCCTGAAACTCTTTAGTGGTTGGGAGCATAGATTATTGTGGCCCAAGTTTCTTGAAGCTCTTTTTTCCGTCCTTGAGAGCTTGTGTTGCATCATTAGCAACAAATGCCGCCGGTTGTTCTCAAATGGACAAGCACATCTTGTTCATTTTCCAGAACAGCCAAGTCGGCTTGTACTGTGATCAGCCTACAACCCAGGCATCGGCGCTTCTGCGCAACCATCTCATGCTATAGCAGAAGGGCTCCAATGCACACTTCCCATTTTGCCTACAGGATACAGTTTTTAAAACTCTACGTCCCAAGTGTCAGGCTATAACAACCACAGCTTTTACTGGCTTTGGTTTACCAAAGACATTCTTCTGAGTTTAGGTTTATTCATTTTATTTTGTGTGTATGGGTTTTCACGTGCATGTATGTATGTGCCCCATGTGCATGCCTGGTGCCTTCTGGGTCAGACGAGGGCATCAAATGCCCTGGAAATGGAGTAGCCGATGCTTGTGAACCACCACATGGGACCTGGGAACCGAACCCAGGTCCTCTGCAAGAGCAACATGTATTCATAACTAGTGAGCCACCCCTGCAGCCTCTGTCAAGGACATTCTTAAGGGAAAATGGCTTCTGTTTTTCTTTACAGGTTTTGTGCTTTTCTAGCTTTGCAATAGCACTGGGTCATTTTGACCATCAGTATTAATGTCTACAAAGGAAAAACTGAACAAATACTTAAATCATTAAAATCCGCGGCCTCGGCATAACCATACAGATAGGTGTGATCCTGTCAAAGTGTGAGGACTACCCTTAGAGAAACCTTGCTCTCTTTTCTTTTGGGAGAGCCGTGCACAGGGCAGCTGGTTTTAGTAGACATGGCAAACGCTTAGTTAAAAGAAGGTTTTGAAGGTAGTAAAACTTGAGGATTGTTATGCAAGGGAGACAGACCTGTCATCCAGGAACGGGAAATGAGTCACAGCAAGTGGGGAGGTTAGAATTGAGAAACACTAAGCCACTGGCCACTGTTGGGAATCCCTCTCTAGCCTACCTCCACATTCTTTACCAACTGGGGTTGTCAGTCATTCCCCTTAGGCCCTGGTGACTGCTGCTCCTAGTTAACTGGTTGAGAGACCCGGCTTTCATAAGCATTTTCTACACTGCCTTCAAGACTACACAACAGACTTCATCAGAGACTCTTCTTGAACCGTCAGACTGCCGCGAACATAGAGGCTGATTTTTCACAGACCCGCCACAGTCCGAGACAGCCAGGGTCCACCTTTTATATCCTGCACTCCCTATTCGGTTTTCGTCTATGGAAAAGTTTCTGTGACCAAGGTCCGTAAGTATTCAAATGTGTAGACTAATTTCAGCAACACCAAATACGGCCAGTTTGAAACTAGAAAACACCTGGTTTTAAATGTGAGAGCTGTATTGGAGGAGGAATGCAAAGATGTGATTCAAGGACTGGTTTGAGGTCGGATTGGAGAGACGATAAACTACACAGGTTTGCATGCTAGAATGATGCATAGGCTCCTATCTAAGGTATAGTTCCTAGCGCGAAGATGCAGTCAGTCCATCATGGCAGTGGAAGGCAGTGCAGCCTGGGGCAGCTGGGCGCCTTGCGTCCACAGTCAAGATGCAGTGAGAGAGACCGATGCTGACACTCATCTGGATTTCTACTTCTGACACGGTCCATGGCCCCAGCCATCACAGGACGAGAAGAGAGTCAAGGACTCCGGACTCCGGCAAGGTTCCCGTGGCCTAAGAGAAAGCATTCAAAAGCAACATTAAGTACACAGACCGGATATCGCCTGTCTGGTTCCAAAAGGCAGCTCCAGTTCTTCCTAGCTATCCAACAACGGCAATTCACTTCAGCCTTTTGAACACTCCTTGTTAAGATAGGCATGGAGCTAGGATTATCAGCATCATAGAAATGTGATCAACTAACTTGTATGCAGAAACAAGCAATCGGACTCATATCCCTCTCTGTAGTTTATCAAGAATAGATGAAGAAGGAAAAGGAAGAAGAGGAGGAGGAGAAGGTGTTGTTTCTGGGCCTAGAGAAGCTAGGCCCTTTCCCCTCCTTACTCTCAGTGCAAATGATGGTGGTGATGAAGATGAAAATGATGATGATGATGATGATGATGATGATGATGATGATGATGATGATGGTGATTCTCAGTCCTGGCATATTCTCCTGTACCTTTGGATACTGCGCCATAGGGTTTGGGGGTGCCAACCGCTCAGACAAACATACTCTGCGTTTGTCACTGAGGTGGAATCTATCATTTTATATTTCTTTTATGACTTACTGCTTACAGCAGCCCATTGTAACCAATGGTGTCATTCTAAGCCCTAGGAGACAGAGAGATTTAAGAGATTCCAGCCTAAACATTTAAGAACTGGTATTCCAAAGACTGGAGAAGGCTGTTTTTTAGCAAACATCAACAAATAAGGAGAACGTGCCCTTCCTTCCTCCACCCTTTGGTCTATCCGGGCTCCCTGGATGGTCTGCACCCACTCAGGGTAGAGTCATGTCCACTTTATAAAATCTTTCAATCCGTGTGTTCCTCCCTTCCCAAAATGCACTTGTAGATCTGGGCAGCCATGTATCTTAGTATCCTGAAGCTCTACCACATTAACACATAAAGTTAACCCGCAGATGCTCTGTTCAGAAAAGAGTATTTTACAGCCTAAAGCTGGTGGGGCAGAAAGAAATTATTGTCTTCGATGTTCTTCTGCTAGACAGCTTGAGTAAAATATCCCAAATTGTTTGGTCACTGTTCCTTGTTTTCTATACTTCCATTGATTCAATTGCTACCCATGCTGTCTCTTTCCTTCAAAGACGAAGCATTTTGGCCGCATTGCAAGAGTTTTCCTGCTAATAGCATCTGATTAGAAAGTCTAAATATCGCCTCCTTTTCTTCCCACTTTATTTTCCCCCAAATACATAAAGAGGGGCTGGGATTTTTCATCCGATCCTCACTGCAATACCGATATTCTCTTGACTCCTTTTCCAAACTCTGAATGTGAGCGTCACTAATAGTGAACATTCTTGTGAGACAGGTCTCTCCAGAGAAGGCTTTTATTAGATGCTTTCAGAGATGATGTTACATCTTCACATTTGACAAAGTCAGTAAGAAATTACAGTCAATGCATGAAATTTTCAGGTTACTTACATCATTATTAGAAAGAATGAGACTTAGAATTCTGTTGGCATCTAAGAGCATGCTGGATGGCTCCAGATGACAGACTGTGTGGTATATTTGTTACTCTACAAATAATAATGAGATCACACTATGAAACTTATTTTATAATGGACTGTGTATGTATTTATCTGTCTATTTGTTCATGACAAAATGGTAAATTCCAACTGAAAAAGAAAAGTTTAAGAAAATGGGAATTCCCTAAACTCTAGTAAAGGGGTTAAGATTTATTATAACACAGCCCTTTCAGTACAAAATTGTGTCTATGAAGGACAATTATAATAATTCAATACTATTGTTCTTTCCTTTGTCTTTCATTTGTTCAGATCTTCTCTCTTCAGCAGGTGTTTTCTCTTTCCCTCTCTCCTCTGTACCAAGGAGAA